AACCCTAACAGGCTATTAATTATATTGATATAATATTATCTGATGTAAATGACATTGGTTTTATTGGGACCCATGTTCTCTATCCTTGAACTAACCCGACCAGGCTGTGTGACTAACGTCAATACACCGTCAATACATACGTCACTATTCTAACCCTCGCAATACCGTTTCTTGGCGCTATCCTTGAACCACAATACTACCGTACCTCTCAATTACAGTTCCACTGTTGTATCACTGTATATTCAACTTTCCTTCATAAAAACTAACGCCGAACGCTCCCGCACTCGCCGCTGCGCAGTTGCTGTGTCGCTATTATAATGAAATAATATATAAAGTATATTAATTATATATATTTCCAAGTGCCTGTGACCTGGATAGACAATCGGTCGCACAGCCTGGTCGGGCTAACACGCACGCAGCTTCAACTTTACAATTAGGCCTACATAACGCACACAGACTCGGTGCACACACGCAGGCACGCACGCACGCACGCACGCACGCGTGAGGAAAGATTAAGATATCACATTGAACGTATATCTATAAAATCTATACACTATAGATGTGTTTGTGATTTTACCCATAAAACCTATTTTTTCAAGGTGAATCCTGACAAAGGTCAAACGAACAACACTCCCAGCATACCACTGCACAAGATGTCCATCATCACCGTGCAGATACGGCCAGTGTGGCAACCAGATCGGCACTCAGCTGTCTCGACCATCTACGACGACATTTTCTCGAAGGACACGCGCATTCAAGCGTCTAAGAACGAAGACTACATGGACGCGGCGCTCAACCGTTTCTTCAGCCTGCGAGGGAAGCGTTCCAGCAAGCGAGAGCCGTGAATGGTTTGACATGGAACAGAAGGTCATTTCGCAGGCAGTCAGCGCTGCAAAAGGACAGGTAATCTGACGCCAAGCTTGTCTAAGTTAAGCGAAGATTCTTAGCAGAGATCAGTAGGTATCTTAGCCAAAAGGACAGGTAACTCAACACCAATCTTGTCGAATTAAACGAGTTCAGTAATCTCGAATACGTTTCACGACCGAACCCACGATCGCTGGTTCTGGCTCAATCTTAGTTTGGGACAACTGATATATATAGTTCACATATATGCTAAACTAATCGCGAGTGCTAAACTAAACTGCTAAACTCTTCTCTCTCTCGGACAGGTCGGTTGGCGGTTTGCGAGCGGTCAGCAGTACGTAAGGGGCAGCGGATCGGGCAACAACTGGGCGCGAGGTTTCGCCGCGCACGGCCCGCAGCGAGCGACGCCTGTCCTCGACATGCTGCGCCACGATCCGAGAAGTGCGACGCGCGGACGGCTTCCTCTTTGCGACGAGCCCGGCGGGAGGGACCGGCCCGGCCGTCGGCGCGCGCGCTCTGCGCTCGCGTGAGGAGAGACACCCGCGCGCCGTCGTCGTCTGCCACGCCGTCGCCCCCTATGCGGCCGGCGAGGTCGCGCTGCAGAGCTACAACGCGCTGCTGGGCTCGCGAGTCGTCGCGCGGCGGCGCGGGACGCTGTCGTCCTGTCCGCGAACGACGACCTTCACGCCGTCTGCGCCACGACCCGCGCGGCCGGCGGCGGGCGAGAGCCGGTCTCGTTCAACGACCTCAACGCGGTTGCGTGCCGGCAGCTCCCGCCGCCCCGCTGCTTCCCGCCGAGGGGGCGCGCCGTCGCTGTCGGACGTCGTCGATGCGCTCGCGCCGCACGCTGACTACAGGCTGCTGTCGATGCGTCACGCCCGCTGCAGCCGACGGCCGCCGCTGCTGCCCTTCACAGAGGTCGCGTGGACGCGCGGCTGCGCCGGCTGCGGCGGATGCACGCGGCGGCAGCGCCCGCGCGACGAGGGTTCGAGAGGAGAAGCGGGCGCGTGCGCAGCGTCGCCGACCTACTCACATGCGTCGGCGACGGCGCGACGACGCCGACTGCGACGCGATCGCCGACCACCGCGCGCGCCGCGGGGCGCGCCCCTGGCGAGCGGCTATGCGTGCGCGTGCGCGCTGCGCCGGCGTTACGCGGCGGCTGCGGAGGTCGGCTGTGCTCGTCAGCAACAGCCAGGCGGTGCTGGGGACGGTGGAGGCATCACGGAGAAGGCGTGGCGGCTGTTCGCGTCGCGCGCCTACCTGCACAGTACGTCGCGTGGCGGACTCACGAGGACGACTTTGTGCAGAGTTTTGCCGACGTGAACAGGTCATTCAAGCTACAGACATCTCTGATAGATTATAGAAATTATATCTCTGCATAGGTTATAGTGAGAATTACTGTTGTGAAATATCTTATGTGAATTGTAGATGAACCTTTCAGTACTGCTAACATTATTGAAATGATGTATATAGAGTTGTAATTGAACAAGATTCTGTTGTAAATATGTTTGTGTCGATGACGAGCTTGCCTGGCGGTGGGGAGCTTTGCTCATGTTGATATATCCTTTAGCAATGTACTTTAAATGAATAAATTTTAAATTTGTATATAATTTTTCATGTCTTTAAATAATAAATGATAAATGAGTGAATAAAACAAACTAAACATTTGTTATAGGTAATAAATTTATACTATCGGTTATAATAAAACATTGTAGCGTGGCGCTACCTGGTGTGCAAAATCAAAATATGTGTGCATGTATAAGGTGATCCTTGAGAACTACATCTCACCAGAGTTTTGGACGCCGACCTTACCTTGGTCGGTGGTCGCAGTGATCTTCTACTTACCTCACCTGACAGCTCTTATTGTGGTGTGGCGTATTTCTCTCTGATTAATTGTTAGAGAAATGGTGCAAGATATTCCCCGTATTTTATGCACCTTTAAACTGTATTACCTCCTCCAAGGGTAAAGTTTTCGCAGGAGGTTAAGTTTTCACGGCGTGTGTTTGTTGGTTTGTGGTTTGTGGGTTTGTTTGTGTACAGCTAACTGAAAAAGTTATGGACGGCATTGTCATAAAATTTTCAGGATAGGTCAGAAATGGGCTAACTTAGAATTGATGAGTTTTTGGTGGTTATCCGGATCCAATTAATTAATTAATTAATACATTTTAGGATAGGTCATAAATGGGGTAACTTAGAATTGATTACATTTGGGGGTGATCCGGATCAATTAATTATAAATTTTCAGGATACGTCAGAAATCGGGTAACTTAGAATTGATTACATTTTGGTCGTCATCCGGATCCAATTAATTATATTTAATTAATTAATTAATTAATTAATTAATTAATAAACATTTTCACAGTCACAGAATTCAGCTGTCTTGGCGGACGTCTGTGCCTCTCCGAGTGCTCTAGTATAGGGTTATTATATACGCGTTATTGTACGATTTGAAAAAAAACAAAAGCTGCCACATTCGTTTCAGTTACTGCTTTCAAGCTTCCATACACGACTCTGATAGAGGAATCTAGGGCGTAATCATCCAAGCAATTTTTAAGAATGTGTGAAAATAATTAAGTGTTGCAGTGGTTGCACATTTTACAGTGTTGCAGTCCGCTGTTTTATAATCAGTCTTTGTAATGCGCACGTGAACATATCTGCATGTAACGTGCGCATATAAATCAATAAATATTATTATTATTATTAAAATATTAATAACACAAACTTCCTGCATTCTAGGCAGAACACTCCAAATCGTCTCATTTCATACCAGCTCATGCGCAAATGAAATGATAAAATTTGTCTCGAGGCAGTTTAATTACTGATTTAAAACCTTTACATGTACACACCTGTCTAAAGTACCGCAGGAATGCTAAAATCACACTCGTGAAAAACACACGTTCCTCACATATATAGCTCATACCAGACTGATAACTTTTTTGCTCGCTTATTTAATTAATTAATTAATTAATAAACATTTTCACAGTCACAGAATTCAGTTGTCTTGGCGGAGGTCTGTGCTCTCCGAGTGCTCTAGTATAGGGTTATTATATACGCGTTATTGTACGATTTGAAAAAAAAACAAAGCTGCCACATCCGTACAGTTACTGCTTTCAAGCTTCCATACACGACTCTATGATAGAGGAATCTAGGGGCGTAATCATCCAAGCAATTTTTAAAGAATGTGTGAAATAAGTGTTGCAGTGTTGCACATTTTACAGTGTTGCAGTCCGCTGTTTTATAATCAGTCTTTGTAATGCGCACGTGAACATATCTGCATGTAACGTGCGCAATATAAATCAATAAATATTATTATTATTATTAAATATTCATAACACAACTTCCTGCATTCTAGGCAAGAACACTCCAAATCGTCTCATTTCATACCAGCTCATGCGCAAATGAAATGATAAAATTTGTCTCGAGGCAGTTTAATTACCGATTTCCAACCTGCACATGTACACACGTACCTGTCTGAAGTACCGCCGGAATGCTAAAATCACACATGAAAAACACACGTTCCTCACATATATAGCTCATACCAGACGGATGACTTTTTTGCTCGCGAGAAAATTCGTGCGAAATTTCGTTTTCACTTCAGTATATGTTTAACGGAGACTTTCACGAACCCCCCAAAAAAACAATAAATTCTCAATCCATAATATCTAATGCTTCTTAGGAGCCAAGAATAATCTATTAGATCGGTGAACACTCCTTGCTATCTTCTGTTCGGGAAGCATTGCTTCAAGCTACGATTCTTGTCAGTATTCTTTTCATATATTACAATTTACGTCTAACACGAATGCGCTTCCAATCCCATTATCGCGGTTGGATTGTCTACTGACGTGTAATAAAATATGACAGTTACTGAACCACAGCCGCGCATTCGCCAAAGAAAACCCGTTGCCGCCCTTCACTTCTCGTTTAGACAAATTTCTTGTCGGTATCTTTAATCTCTAATCTCAAGGTGAGCCGCATGCTACATAGATGCGGCGACCTCGTACTTGAACAATTCGATAAATTGACATCCCCAGGGTTGTCGTACATGGTGTAGTATTTAAGCGCACGCGGATGTCAGTTGCTCTTTAGGCTAGCTCCAGCCCTCCGTGTAGCAAGGTTTGTATAGCAGACTAAACTGCTTTCTTGTTGTGTCTAACGACAGAGGTGTCAACCTACGACAGAGTGGTTTGTGTGCTATTGTCATCGGAGGAGCGTTCTTTTCCGCTACGCTGCCCTAGCTGCCGCTACGTGTCACAAGTAACAAGCCGGAACTTGTGCAAGGGACACTTGAAGGTTTTCGGACGGAATTCTTTGAACAAGGTGAGCAATTCTGTGCATTACAAGTTGCGTCGTCCACGTCTCTGCGATTAGAGGTATTTCATGTTTATTTCTCAGGTAAAATCATTGTGTGTGTGAGTGGATGGGGAGGGGGGGATGTTGAGACACTATAGCGCGTTCATAATGTAATTATTAGCTTACATTTCATCGTCGTAAACAGCAATGACTTAATTATTACCCAAGTTAGAACCTGTTTGATCAAAGCTACCAAATAATTACACACGCCCAGTTTGCAAGCTAAACTACGCTTGTGTATACAAATACATGTACTTGGTTTTATAACTAAAGCACTTTCTGATGCGCGTGATAGATTCGTAGAGTAAGTTAGTAAACGAATGTTATATAAGATTGAAAACGCGAAGTCATGCGTGTGATTTTTGTTCCCCGTGTATTCCGCCTATGCCCATTAATCCATATATATATATATATATATAT